GGTTTATCACTACAGGGTGCGTCCATGCAGGGGTGACATGCCATGCCGTGAGGGGGTGAAGGGAGGACGAGGAGCATGTGAGCACTGGTGTGCCGTGAGGGGGTGAAGGGAGGACGAGGGAGAGAGGTACGAGGCGGCGAAGAGTGTAGAACGAGCAAGGGGGAGAGTGGGGGGTGAAGGTGCAAGGGGGAAGTTCTGGGAGCGCGAAACTGGGGAGGAGCACGGGTGGGAGGGTGAGTGAGGTTAGATTGAGGGAGCGAGGGGGGATAACGACGTATGGAAGCTGGATGGGTGACTTACATGGCACGAGGCGGGGGATGTTGCGAATGAGAATCGGTTCCCGGAACACAGTGCCTGCAGACCAGGAAAGAGAGAAGGGGGATGGATGGGGTTAAGTCACAGAATTTCAAACTTACAGCGGTTGAGAGTGTTAGAGAACAACGGCCCAAGTGAGACAGACAGACACTTCTTGAGCCGCCTTGGAATTGACGAACGAGCACGGCGTGGAGTTGCAATGTGATGAGGTATGGAATGGAAGGATTGCAATTCACTCACAGAGTTGCAATGTGATGGATGGCGAATGAGAACAGGTGCATACAGTCAGATGCAGCGAGGTTGTTTTTGAGACGTCTCAAAAACAACCTCGCTGCACGTGGAGTTGCAACGTGATGAGGTATGGAATGGAAGGATTGCAATTCAGTCACAGAGTTGCAACGTGATGAGGTATGGAATGGAAGAATTGCATTGTGATGGATGGCGAATGAGAAGAGGTGCATGGCTCACAGTCAGAGAGTGCACAAACACGCTCGTTCATGCAGGGATGCAGGTGCATTTGTGCACGGGTGCGTGCGTGCGCCGTGCGCGAGCGCTCACACACACACAGACAGCACACACACACCCACGCACGCCTGGCATCGTACCGTTTAGAATGTTGCGGATGGTGCCTGCACGAAACAGAAAGAGCAGCACACACCGCAATGGGTGAGACGCAGTGAGAAGGGTGAACGACTTGGGAGGATAGTTGCACAGAGGCAGTGAGATGCAGCAGCAGTGTTAGCCATTGCAACCAGCACATGCTTAGCACCAGGTGGTATTGTGAGAATTTGAACTGAAAAAACGCCTCTAACATTTGTGATTGACCCCCTTTTTCTCGTTAATTTCTACCTTACACGTGGCATCTCACCATTGGGGCTCTTCCACATGGCCTTGAGTCCGAACTCCCGCACCCTCTCTTCGTCTGCATGCATGCATGCATGCAGGGAGGGAGGCGTGGAGGGGAGCCGTGACATTCAGGGAATGGTGAGAATGGAGAATGATGCATGCGACAAAACAAAAACAACACGCACAACCACCGAGGTGCACCATACAGGAAAGTTTGACGTTTAGGCCTATGACGCCAAACCCACACACGCGACCATTGAAACCGCCTCTGTCCCAACCATGACTGTCAGCGCTATGTTATGAATCACGCACCAGGAGTGATTGTCGCACACTTGACTGCCACGTTATACCTGTTTGAAAAAAAAAAGGGGACATATTTAGGAACTAAGCGCTTGTAGATGAGAGGGAGCATTGAAGATCATTGAAAAGCTGATAACAAGCAGAGTAGACCGAGGGCCTCACTTGAGTGTTGCTTGCGCGCTCTCGACCGTGACCTGGTCGTTGGTGGCCTCGCGGTGAGGCAGGCCCAGGTCGAAGTACTTGATATTGAGATCCAGAAAAGGGTGGATGAGCTGCGGTGATGGGAGATAGGCAGATGGGATGATGGGGCATGAACAGAGTGAGTGAGGTGCGTGCATGGCAACGGGCAAAGGCAGGCCCAGGTCCAGGAACTTGATGTCGCGATCCAGGAAGGGGTGGATGAGCTGCGGGGAGAGGAGAATGCAAAAACAGGCAGGGAAGAGGGCGGGACGGAAGCGGTATGGTTGAATCCAGGAAGGGGAGGATAAGCTGACTTCTGAGTCTGACTCAAAAAATAAAAATCTTGAGCCGACTCAAAAGTAAAAAACTCTGAGTCGACTCAAAAATTGACATTCAGAAAGGGAAGGATGAGCTGCGGCGCACGGAAGATGGACGCAGGAAGGCAATGGGAGCAGACACTATCAGGTACTGGGGGTGCGAGTTCCTTGTCGCTGATCATGGACCAGATGGCTCGCGCCATTTCATCTGCACTCCAAACTAGGGGTATATTGCATGCGCGGTATGCAGCTGCTTGGACAGTTGCAATTTGACCGAGCGAGGACACAGGGTGCGAGTACCTTCTCTTTAATCATAGACCAGATGACCCGGGCCATCTCATCTCCTGCACAGCAAATTTTTGTTGACTTTTCAAAAATACCCTTTATACACGGTGCTGCATGCACGACACGCGGCTGCTTGGAGAGTTGCAATTTGACCGAGCCAGGACACGGGGTGCGAGTACCTTCTCTTTAATCATGGACCAGATGACTCGCGCCATTTCATCTCCTGCACAGCGAAATCCAGAACATGCCATCGTGTTGAGAGAGAGGAGATGATAGAGAGGGAGCGATGAAGCAAGAAAAAAAGCGGTCAGGGGACAATCGGCAAGAGATTCGGTGGGAGGAGAGCGAGAGGCAAGTTGACAAGGGAAATGAAGGATTTTTTCCGTCACGCCCCAATCTATTACGTGCAATTAGCGGACAGGTCAACAGCAAATCCGTACCGTCCATTTCTACGATGGGATTATCAACCGGAATCTTCTGGAAGCCCATGATCGCCTCTTCGCTACTCTCGCCGCCCAAAAACGACTCCAATCTGACCGTTGGGCGATGGGTACGAGTCTCTGCCTTTGCTGGGATGCTGAAGAAACGGCGACAGGTCGCGGGTTCGAATCCTGGATCCGTATGGATTCTTACACGTAGCAATCCGGTGGCTACTCTGCAGAGATGCCTGAGGTGTGTCATGCGAAGATGACCGAGAATGCACGTCCTCTAATCGAAGGTACAGTAGTAGATATCCGATATCTGCAAAAAGTGGCCGACCCTAGCCTCAGCGTACGATCGTTAATTCGAGAAGCACGACAACCGCACCTTGTGGGGCTCGAGGCTAGTGGAGTAACGGATTACAAAAGAAGGCGAATGGAGCGCGATAGCGAAAGCGTCAATCGTTCAAGCTACTCTAGGCGGCACGGAAATCTGAAGTGCAACGTGGCAACATGAGGGTGAAGCATGCCTGAAGAAGCGTCAGAACCACGAGAGTTCCTTTGTCTCGCCAATAACTCAATAACAAAGCTGCTGGATACAATCAGAGTGCGGATTTGTCTCAGCATAAAGTTATTGCACTAACAGATATCTCAGCATTACCAAAGTACCTAGTAATAATATATCGGTCAATATATTCTCGCGGCATATGTCAAAATGTGCTGTCTGTTACCATATTTGTCTGACTATAACTAATAATTGCCCGGGCCTTCATTGAGACGGCAAGAAAAAAACATCATGCTGAACATTTAAAGCAATTTATTCTGTTATCTCATGATTGCTGCTCATCTTGTGCTTTATTTGGCGTCAACCTGGTCCCAGCCTATGACTTACAATATATAATTTCTTAAGTTTGAGTTATGTATATTGATAGCATCTCCGATTGCATTTGTGGTCGTCGTTAGTGTACTCCAAACCCTGGTTGCTCGCTAGATTGCGCTCGTAACGATTGTTTTGTCGTTTCGTGTGTTGGCTCGTGCACAGTTGTGTGGGTGGGGTCAACTTGTCACGGTGGTTTCTTACCGTCGTTTTCCACGGCTGTTCCTTGACTTCTGCCCTTTGGACAGCTCCTCAGTGCCCAATCTTTGAGCTTGGTGTTCTTGTCGTGCTCAACAGATCCAAGATTCCAGCTGGCTGCTGGTCGACATATCAGCCAATAAAACAAGAGTCAGAGCTCCCAAATTCAAGAAGGGGTGTCAGCCCATGACTTCTACTTCACTGCTTTTACGAGTTGGTATATTCCAGAAAGGAAGTGCAAAAACATTTGCAAGGAGAGAGAAGTTTAGGGTTTAGGGTTATGGATACCACGGACATCGCGGCTGTACATTATTAAGATACCATGGATCTGTCATTTACACTCTTACATGGTTTCTGATTGTCCCAAATGTTTTTGCGAACTGTCGATTGTGGCAATGAAGTTGCAAATAGAACAGATATTATACCCCCTCAGTCACCTCGCATGCAGCACTTTTTATGTTCAGGTTGCATTTTTGATTTCCCTTTCCAACCATAGTCGTCGGTCTTGATCCGCGGTTAGAAACTGCGGTCCGATGTGCGTCGTTGTATCGAAACGAGATGCTCCCCCAGACCAAAGTCCAGACCACGTGAGTCCAGACCAGACCAGCCCTTTCCCCTTCCCCTCCCCCTCCCTCCCTCACTCTCCCCTCGTCGATTCATGACTTCTAGTGAGAGTGACCATTCGACCTGTTTCCCTGACCACACTCTGCGCTTTCCGCCATCCATGTCTCATCGCTCCCCTCACAGTCTCACACCGCGGGTTTTTACGCGTCCCACTCATCACATCGCATCGCCCGCCCATCTCTCCGCGTTGTTGTGTGTACCCAAAACGCCCCTCCACTCCCCATAGTACATAAACATCGTCAGGATAACCATTTACTCATCACTCTCACCTGTTCGCGACAGTCGTTTCCGTGGCTCTCCCCCCAAAAGCCGAGCTCCGCGCGCATGTGGAGCAGCAGCAGCAGGAGCAGTCACATCGAATCATCGATTCGCATCAGCCTGTAGTACCCCAGCAGTGCTATATTATTTTCCAATCACTAAGAAACGCATGCAATGGCGGACCGCCTCTTTCCATCAGCGCGTACGTCAGCCGAGCTCTTTGAAGCATTTTCTTTCACCGGCGTCGTCGGCGAGGGTCAATTCGGCCGCGTTTGGCGCTGCGTTGATTGCGCAACGGGCGCACCTCTAGCCTGCAAACAGATCCGCAAGTCGCACCTCACGCCAAACGAGCTCGAGTCGCTCGAGCGCGAAATTTTGGCCATGGAATCCCTTCAAGGCCACCGCAACGTGCTCCCCCTCCTCGGTTTGTACGAAGATGAGAAATCCGTCTACATTCTGACGGAATTGTGCGACGGCGGCGACATTTTCAGCCTGATCGTGCAGACCGGCGGCATTCCCGAACGAGCGGCTGCGATGATCTTCGCGCAGGTCGCGGACGCCGTGAGATGGTGCCACGCGCACAGAATCGCGCACCGCGACATCAAACCGGAGAACGTTCTTATCACCACCATCGCCGCCGCCGGTGCCCCAGACTCGCCCGACGCAGGGGCTCGGCTAGAAGCGCGCCTCGCGGATTTCGGCCTCGCGATGGAGATCCCGAGGGGCTTCTCACTGCGCGGCGCCGTCGGCAGCGCGCCGTACGAGGCGCCGGAAGTTTTGGCTGGGGACCTCTACAGCTTCGGCGCGGACATCTGGTCGCTCGGAGTGCTCCTATACGCAACCATCTCCGCTAAATGGCCCTCTTTTCCCGGAAACGTGCGCAAGTTTCTGCCTGAAGTCGACTTTTCCGTCGCGCCCTGGCCTTCCGTGTCGGTTGAGGCGAAAGATCTTATCCGTCGGATGCTGACCTTGGACGCGAGCCAACGGCTGGATATCGACGGCGTGTTGGCGCACCCGTGGCTCCGGATCGCATCAGCTCGTAGCGAGTCAAGAAAAGCGCCACGCGATTTGAAATCATCGCGCCAACCCAGCGCTCCCATAGTAGCGCCGTTTTTTCCACCCACGGAAGCTCCGAAACTCGATTTCGGACCCGAGACCGCGGCGCCCCATCCGCATTCGCCCCAACTCGATTCTCGCCCTGACTCGTCCAAAGCGTGCCGAAACGGCTGCTCTTCTCAGTCCGCGGCTGACGTGGACTATTCAGAGGCGACGCGCATCGCGGGTAATTCCAAGGCGAGCGGCGCGGGGGTTCCGAGGCACGCCAGCTTTGACGAATGGAGTGAGTGCGGCGCGGAAGTTGGGCTCGCGGAGGCTGGTTGCGCGGAGGCTGGTTGCGCGGACCTCTCCGAGCCCGTCCTTCGCGCGGCGGAAGCCGACCAGCACAACGCGGAAGCAGCGAGTTGCGGCGCCGCATCCGCCGCAATTGCGTGCTGGGCGACTTCGCCGCGTCGGCCGTGGTCGCAGCGATCCCCGACATCAGAAGAGACGCGCCGCGACTCGTCCCGCAGCAGCGGCGGCGGCGGCAGCGGAAGCCGTACCAACAGCAGGAACAGCAGCAGCAGCAGCAGCAGCAGCGTCAGGCCGGTGAGGTTGAAGCGGGAGGTGCCGCTCGGCAACAAAGAGCAATCTCACACCCCTTCCGCGGCCGTCTCCCGTCTCTCTCCCAAAGCTCCGTCGCCCAGGCGGCAATTCCGCCAGTCCGCCTCTTCTCAGTCGCTATGCTCCGAGGGGCTGCCGCTGCAGCCTCCCAAGCTGCCGCCATTCCACCGCGCATCACCCTCCGCGTCGCCATCGCCCCGCTCTTGCCCGCCGCAAGGCATCCCTCTTCAGCCGTCCACCCCCAAGGCGTTTCCTTCTTTCCCCCAAGCGTCACCCGCAGCAGCCGCATCGCAATCGCCCCGCTCTTGCCCCCCGCAGGGGATTCCTCTTCAGCCGTCCACTCCCCGGACCCCCAAAGCTTCTCCCTCTCCTCGCGGCAAGACGCGCACAAGTGCTACTGCCGCCCTCCCCAAGGTTCCCTCGGGTCAAGGGTCGGCAGCAGAGGTGTCAACTTCTAAGCCAAGTGGAAAGGCAAAGCCGGCAAGGAGCCTGGCTAAGTCCAGCTACGCCTCCATGAATGAAAGAACCCTGCCTAGCAGCAGCAGCACCAACGGCAGTGGCAGGCGCAGCAACAGCGGTGGGAGAATCAGAGCCTGGCACCGGCGATCGGTCTCTGATGTTGCTCACTCTCCTGCTGCAGACATTGCTGTCCCGGGACTTCCTACAACCTCAAATCTCCCCTCACCAGACCTCTATGTTTCTGAGCATCCAGGGCAACATGCGTCTGGCTGCCCACCCTGCTCTCGCCCTCCTCGCATCGCCATTCCGACCAGCCCAGCAATGAGCGACTCGTACTATGATGATGCAGATGAGAGTGAATGCGAGCTGACTCCTACCTTCCGCCCTCAGCCTGCTCCCGAATTCCCCATTTCTTCGGCAAGTTCATCTGCCCGTGAGCTTTCCCAACAGGATGGCTCTCCTAATAACAGTGTTGCAAAATCCAGGCCCAAGCTGCCGTTGATGCCAGCTGTCACCTCCTCGTGCTCGCGCTATGTTAGGAACCTTTTTACGCCTGCATCTGTTACCATGGCATCTGGGCCGTGGCAATAGCATTAGGCGTCTATCGTACGTATGCAAAATGTTTGATAGGACTGATTTAATTAATGTTTTTGCAGACAACCTTCGCTCTGGACCTGCTAGTACAAACAATCTGTGTTTATACTTGTTTTTGCCAGAGTGCATACCTGCAGTGCCTAACAAGTAGGCACCACAATGAAAGATATGGTAGTGATCATGTGGTGCACGCTTATAATTTAAGAATAAGCACACAGATAACAGGCAGGTTCCTTAAAAGATAGTGATGAGGCATGTGTTTCTATCCCACCTGTTGATATCTCAAAACGATTGAGGTATAATGTAAGAAGGTCGTACCGTGTGATTTGTTGATGTAGAGCTGGAAGTTATGTCAATCAATACGCGACCGAACGTACGGAAATAAAATTTTGCGACCAAATTACATGTCAATAACATTGTGGCAGCGCCAAGAGGGACCGAACCACGACGAAAGATGAAACGGAAATCCCCTGTCACAACCAATCCACCGCCTTCCCGTCCCGCCCATCACGTGAGCAGTCAGTGCCTGAACAGCCCAGCTATGACGAAAGCTGTAACGGCTTCGGAGTGTGCTGGCTCGCTTTCGTCAAGTGTAGTTGTACTCTGGTGGTTGTTTCATGCCAGCGAGGCAAGCTGCAGTTCTGATTGTGCGCCAACCTGTGCATTGCTCCAATCGAACCCACAACAGTGCCGTTCCAATTGCTGTACGCCGTCTTCCATAGTTCCGTTTCCGTGCGTGCTCCCCCCCCCACAGAGGTCCGCCAAAGACTGGCAATGGCAAACCTCCACTGAACCCCGTCCTCTCGAGTCGAGACACCCCACCCCACAACCTTCCGCGCGTACATAGCATCTCATCCCATCCCACTCATCCCATCCCATCCCATCCCATCCCATCCCCTCCCATCCCATCCAATCCCATCCCATCCCATCTCATCTCATCTCATCTCATCCCATCCCGTTCCGTCTTATCCCATCCCATCCCAGTTTACCAGCCCATGCCATTGCCATCCTTTCTGTGAGCTTTTGCTGTGTCATCTTCCCCGTTCTCGTTGTCTCTGTTTCAAGGGATTCTCCCAACGGCACAAGAATCTGTATCTTCATCCCAGAATCCTGAACCTTGCTGTTTACCGAGTGCAAACTGTCCTTGTTAGGCCACTCTACACTGAAACATGCATTCATCAGAGTGGTTTCAAAGTTTGCACCTAAAGATTAGGTGTTCGACGGCTCTGAATTAGGGCGGAAATTGGGGATTCTTTCTGAAACGCCATCACACCTGAATGGGTCCGATCTTTGTCGTAAAAATATTTTCCTGAGAGGTGCTGGACTTGAATCAGGGTAAATCTCCCCGAAATGACGTCAACCGTGCAATTCCACGTCTCTCGTTCAGACTCACCACAGCTGACAACAGTAAGCAGAAATCTTGCACCGACTGGCACAACAGCTTGAACAGATTTTCATGTGACGCCATACATGCTCACGTTTCTGTGTGCGGGAAGGGAATGCTCTCTGTCATTGGTGGTTTAGGAATATAGCAGCATGTTCATTACAAAAGCGTCTAGTTGGCTCCATATAAAATCATGCATGGCCTCTTGTTTTCTTCATTCCCTTTGTCTCTAGCGCACTCTGGTGGTAAAATGCCTCCTAAAATCTCAAGTCGGACTGCACAGCCTGAGGCAGATCCACCGACCCATTCATTGCATTCTCCCGCTACTGTACCTCGTGCAAACGTTTCACACCCCTCCTCCCGCCTTCCTCCCCTCCTCACATCTCCCCCTTTTCGCGCTGTGGTTCCACACAGCGTTTTCGTTTCCCCGCGAGCCGCACATTGCACCTGCAGGGAAGTACGTACTTCAGAATGCCCTGTCCTTTCAATACCACAGGATTTCAGCCAACACGAACCTTCATTCAAAAGCCCTGGTGTCCTTGATGGAATCATCTGCATTCATCCGCTGATATCAGCCTCGTCCTTGGAGCAACCCTCGTCTCTCGTCCTCGCTCCGCGCGGCCGCACCTTACGTTCTCCCCATTGACTAATCCTCAAGATTTTCGCAGACTCAGTGCTCTTTTCCGCTCTTCTGTTATCAGCCATTTTGTTAGCGGAAACCATTCCGCAATGGCGAGGCTCTTCCCGTCAGCGGGTCCCACGGCGGAGCTTTTGAGCTCCTTCACTTTCGACCGGGTCATCGGCCAGGGCCAATTCGGCCGCGTTTGGCGCTGCATGCATATCCAGTCAGGAAGCTGGTTCGCGTGCAAGAAGATCCGGAAATTGCAGCTGTCAGCGCACGACTTGGAGTCGTTAAAGAACGAAGTTGCGAGTATGGAGAGGCTACGCGGGCATCGTCACGTGCTACAGCTTCTCGCGCTGTTCGAAGACGAAAAAACGGTTTACATAGTAACCGATTTATGCGACGCTGGCGATATGTTCGCGCTCGTGAGCCAAGCGAAAGGCCTCCCAGAGCAAGCTGCGGCTGTGGTTTTCTCGCAAACCGCGGAGGCTGTGAGATGGTGCCACGTGCACGGCATCGTTCACCGGGATATCAAGCCAGAAAACGTCCTACTCGTTACTAGAACTTCCGATAGTGGAAGAAATCAGATCGAGGCTTGCTTAGGAGACTTCGGCCTCGCGTTACAGATACCCGAGGGTTTCAAGATCCGCGGCGCAGCAGGCAGCGCGCCGTACGAAGCACCCGAGGTCGTTGCATCTGAAGCGTACGACGTTACAGCTGACGTGTGGTCCCTGGGAGTCCTACTGTACGCCATGCTGTCAGCTAAGCTCCCTTCCTTTCCATCCGATAAGAGAGTTTTGATTCCGGAGGTCGACTTTTCGGTCTCACCTTGGCCGTCGATATCTGAGGAGGCGAAACATCTCATCCGTCGGATGATGACTGTGGATTCAACCCAACGACCAAATATCCAGGAAGTTCTGCAGCATCCTTGGGTCGCTGGGCGAGTGACAGCAGCCAATCGGAGACCGACGCGAGTCGTAACACAGCGAAGCGAACCCATCAGAAGACAGCCAATCACGAAATCGAAGCAGCAGGCTGCTGTTTCTGCCATCCCTGCAGCTCATTGGCTGATGTCGCCGGTCCTGAAATTGCAAAAAGACTCCGTACAAGCTCAGCGTGACTCAAAGGGGCGTGGAATTCCGAGATCTCAGCCCATTCCGAGGAGAAAAACTCTCGATTGGCTCAGCTTCCCCGCTTCTTCCGACATCCCCGCCACTCCCCACTCCCCCTCCTCCACCCTCGCCCCCCTCTCCCCAGGCTCCCCGTCGTCTCCGCTCTCCCCTCCAGCATCCGCCACCTTCCCGCTTTCCTCGCCTTCGTCCCCTTCTTCCGCGCTCTGCTCGCCCTCTTCCCCGGATCGTCAATCCATGGACCACCCACGTCACCGTCGCCACTACAAGCTGTCCCCCCTCGCTTCGTGAGGCAGCCGAGTCAGCTTAGGGGTCACCCCCTGATCCCCACACCGCGACGCGTTTTACATGTGCTCCATATAAGACCTCCCTAGTCTTCTGAGAAGCACTAGCTGTCTCTTCCTAAAAATAAGAGGTAAAGCTCATGCTAAGCATGAGCTGAAGGATCTAGGCCCGCCGTGTTTTTTCCTTAGCAGAAGGGCTACTAGGGCATCTAAGGGTACATTCCTGCGGGGATTATGGGCTATTAGGGTGCATTCCTGTGGAGACACAAATGTCTCTCAATCGCTTTGTGACACACAAAAACAGCATTAACTGTAGTGTGTCCCAATTGCGAGTCGCATTTCCGCGACCATTACTGTATTTTTTATTGGTCAGCGTGAAACGCGCTGACGTCGCTGACGAATTGTAATCTGACTCGTCAATGTGAAAAATTCGCACGCTGCTCGAAATGTCAATGCACCTGGACAGCCTGCAATGCCAATTTCGTGCGGGAAAAAATCCCGCTCGTCGAAACCACACTCCAGCCAAGCGGTTGAAAAAAGGGATGTACAGTCATTTGTGTCACCCAAACAAATGCGCACAACTGTACATCTCGCCTGGTCGCCTAGAGTCGCGATACATTGGTTGTTTGTGACACAACATTTGGCAAATTTACAGGCGCGACTCGGGAAATCGGGGATTGAGACACAAGTGTCCCCGCAGGAATGCACCCTAACTGTATCATGCTACCCACTTCGTGAAAAAAGGACACAGTATACCAATACCTAGTCTTGCATTCTAACTAGTCACACAGTTTTTCCCTCCCCGGTTTAAAGGCCACACCCCGAATTACACAACGAAGTCAACTTAAAAAATGTAGGTTCGGGAAACCCCAGACACAGGTTCAGTGGGGAAATCTAGAACCAATCGCGTCAAAAACCCACTCAAAACCCTCGACCAATCACACGAAAGTGGTGACAGTTTTGGGGCCGACACGGTAATTCTGGATGTGTCCTTTAAGCTTGTCAGGTGGTGCCAGCTATTTCTTTCGATGCACAGGATTAAGTACACTTAAAAAATCTATAAAAAACAAGCAAAACTGGCCAGTTGGAAGCTGTGCTCCTGTGTGAAGCTTGTCTGCTAGTGACAGGCGCCACTATCGAGGCGGAGAGACATGGAAATACCGTAACCCGCCCAGCAAGAGAGAGGGGTAGTCAGCTAAAGTTGTTGGGCGGCTGTGTTGAGCTTGTCTGCTAGTGCCAGCTGTGCGCGGGTGAGGTTGGCCAGGTACAGCACCAAAAGCACGTCCTGCATTGGGGGGTGCGGAGGGGAAG